AAGCTTTAAGCTGTCAGAGTCACTGTTTTCAGGACTGATGGTTAACGAGGTCAAATGAAAGGAAAAAAGAGGTTGCCAACTTCCACTGCAGGTTTTAGAGATGAAGCAACCTGAGAGTTTCTTGAAGCTGAGCTGATTTTCAGCTCAGTGAGTGACAGTGTGGCCCAAAGCAAGGATTCTCAGTCTCTTTCTCCCCAGGAAGCTGACAAACTTGCAGATTTCCACAGAGATTGATTCACAAGGTGACCCTGATGCAGAAACTTTAAGACTTTAAGGTTTTGCTTAAGAGTAAACTGCCCCCAGGGACAATTAACTTAACTTTTTGGAGCCTCAGTCCCTTCCTCTGTAAAACTGTGCTGCTGGGAATAATGGAAGAGCTACCCCAGAGAGCATTGTGCAAGGTACCAGCCCAGACCCACTGGTGTGAAGGCCTGTGTAGCCCTGCTTAGGTTTCTGTGCACATCTGTGTTACAGCCTCAGAGATCTGTCCTCATGCCTTTCCCTGTCACCACCCCTACCCCCAACTGCTTTTAGTTTCTTAAACATATTTTGCTCTCTTTGTCCTGAAGCCTCCTTCTTCTATTCCATTTCCCAGCCAGAGAACAACTACTCATTTTCCTTGTCTCAACTCTTTTCCACGATTATTGGTCTGGATGCTTTCCCTAAAAGCCTTCTCTCCTATAGATCCCAAGATGGACTTGTAGCATGGAACTTTGCATAAAATATACTTGGGAGTTTATAGTCTATAACCCCCTCTCTGGTCTGGGACATTCTTAAGGGAAGGGACTGCTTCCTCCTATTTTATTCTTTGCATAGCCCCCTTTCCCAATATGGACGGGCTCTAGTGACCCTGTCTCAGGTTTTCTTACTATGTATTTCTTGAGCCACCTCCTCCCAGGTCACCAGCTACCTTGGAAACACCCTGTTCTCAAAGTCTACCATTCTGCTTGGCCTTGCTGACTGATCTAGGGGTGGGCACTGGATTCAAGCCATGCCCCACAGTCTTCCCTCAAGTTCTTTCAAGCTGAGGCAAAGAAAAGGCACAGGGATAAAGATGTGACTCAGGAGTGTTGGAAGCCATGATCTCCTTCTTGGGGGGAGACAGTGTTGTAAGGGATGAGGAGGAGGATGTGCAGAGCGAGGCAGGGAGAGAGCCCTCCTGGCAGTAGAGTCTGGCCCTGCAGTTCCTCCCAGGGTTCAGTTGCAGGCCTACGTGCTGCTCATCTGGCTAGTCCACCCTTCTCTGGAAATCAATAGAGTCAACAGATGCCCCTTCATACCTGACTTGGTCCCTTACTCTGGCCCCTGCCCTGGGTCTGGCTTGCTCAGCAATTGGTCCATAGAGGGTACTCAATAACTATTTGTTGACAAATTGATAGCAGATGTGTGTCATCTCATTACAAATTGGCACCACACATGTTACCAATCCTGATATCTTTTGTAGCAGAGTCAGAAAAATTATAAGAGAAAATGACAACTTGTAGAACAACTCACTCAGAACAAAAGTGAATTTTTTAGGTTTATCCAGGGTTACTGAGAGATTACGGGTTTCACTATTATAAAACTAATTAGTATAATGAAAACATAACAAAACTTAAGAGATACACTGGACAAGAAAAAATTCATAGCTACAAACACTTAGATCAATAAAAGTGAAAACAATTAAATTCTCAATTCATAAGATAGGGAAAAAACTTCAACATAGTGAAAGAAAACAAGGCACAAGAATAGACATAATGAAGATAAAATCATAAATTAATGAAATAGAGAACCAGAAGACAATAGATCTGTGGAGTTAAAATCCTTGTACTTTGGGAAAATTAAGAGAGAAAACACTAATTAATTCAGTCAAGGAAAGAGGAGAAAAAAATATATAAAACCAAGAAATAATGTTGGGGAAATAGCTATTAAAAAGTGAAAACTGTAAAAATTCATGAGATTACTCTGCAAATTTTATGCAAATAAATCTTAAAGTATAAGTGAAATGGATAATTACCCAGAAAAATACAATTTTCCAAAATGACTTCTTTAAGAGAGAGAAAGCTTCAGCAGAACACTTTTTTTTTTTTTCAAAAGTGGGAGAAATTTTAAAGGAATTATCCCACAACTACAGCACCAGGCTTAAAGAATTTCACAGGAGGTCTAAACCTTCAAACACCAGCTGGTTTCAACGCTGCACAAATTCTTTCAGTGCATGAAAAATAAAGGTAACTTCCAAATTATTTTTCTGAAGTAAATGTAACACTGTTCCTTAAACAAATACACATACAAATATTAGTGCAAAAATCATAAAATCAGTGAACAGAAACAATATCTGCTATGGTTTGAATGTGTTCCCTAAAAAGCATGTATTGGAAACTTCCAATGCAATGGTGCTGGGAAGTGGGATCTAATGGGAGGTATTAAGCCATGGGGGCTGCCCCCTTGTGAATGGATTTATGCTGTTGCCTTGGGTTCATTATTACAGGAGAGGGCCCATTGTAAAAGGCTGAGTTCTGCTATGGCACACCCTGTAATTCCAGTTACACAGGAGGCTAAGGCAGGAGAATCTTTCAATCTAGGCCACTCTAGGCAAGTTAAGGAGACCCTGCCTCAAAATTAATTAGTTAATTAATTAATTAGGACTAGGAATGTTACTCAGAGGTAGACTACCCCTGGGTTCAATCCCCACAGTATTACCAAAAAAAAAGACGGAGTTCAACCCCCCTTTCTCTTACTTCCTTTTCCCTCTGCCTTCTGTCATGAAATTATACAACAAGAAGACACTCAACAGATGCCATCCATCTTGGACTTCTCAGCCTCCAAAACTGTGAGAAATAAATTTTTATTCTTTATACATTAGTCTCTGGTATTCTGTCACAGCAGAATAAAATGGACTCAGACAACATTGTGTTAGGAAAATAATTAAACCTAAGGGATATTTATTCCATGAATGCAAGGTTGATTCGATAGTATAGTAAAACACACCATTTCAGTGATTTATGAAGAATAATTTCATAACCTCCATTGATGATAAAAAGCTTTTGATAAAATTCAAAATTTATTTTTAACCTAAAGAACACTCATGAAACTAGAAATTGATGGATACTTCCTTAATATGATAAAATATATAAACCCTAGTTCATACATTAAGTGAAGAATCACTATTGGCATTTCCACTAAGATCAGGAACAAGGCAAAAATGCCCATTATTTCCACTACTATTTATTATTGCCTTGGAGTCATGAGCCAATGCAATTAGACAAGAGAAATCAATTTGAGGCACAGAATTTGAAAACACAAAGTAAAACTATGCCTATCTTTGGATAATGCAATAGTATACCTCAATCTGAATCAATCCTCAATTTAACTCAAGCAATAAAAGAATTAAGGTAGAGAAGCCTATGGTCTTCATAATCACAACATAAATCAAAAGACAATAGTGAGGGGCTGGCTGGGGTTGTGGCTCAGTGGCAGATCACTTGCCTAGCATGTGTGAGGCCCTGGCTTTGATCCTCAACACCAGATATAAATAAGTAAAAAATTAAGGTACATCAACAAGTAAAAAAAGATAATAGTGAATAAATTACCACTTACAATAGTAATAATGAAAACACTTTAGGAAGAAATCTAGTAAGAAATGTGCAGAACCTATAGGAGAAACACTTTCAAATGTACCTGAAAGATATAAAAGTTGACATGAACAAATGGAAAGATACCCCTTCTTCTTGGGTTGATGACTCAACATAATAAGGATGTAAGTTCTCCCAAAATTCATTTATATATAATTTAATAAAAAATACCAGCAAACTCTTTATGAGGCTAAATAATTGATATAAAAATCATGTAGAAAAATAAATATGCAGATATCTAGAAACACTAATATTTTAGGAAAAAAGAGCCACAAGGACTGTCCAGTTCTATTTTGCATTAAATCATGATATAAAATCTCTATTGCTAAAAATGTGAGATATTGGCACATGAATAAACAGAGATTAGTTGACTAGAATGGAAATCAAGAAATAGACTTAAGTATATTTGAAAATTTAGTATATGATGAAGGTGTTATCTTAAATCCCTGGAGCACAGGTGGGCTCTTTAATAAATGAAATGATGCTAGACAAGGAGGAGCTATCTGGAAAAATGACAACATTAGATACATACCTCACACTATCCACAGAAATAAATTCCAAATTGAAAATAAAAGGAGAAGAATAGGAGAAAAATATAAGAATTCCTCTATTAACTGTGCATATAGAAAGAATACAATAAAAACAAAGGCTTGATAAATTATGCCCTATAAAATATTTGCAGGGTCAAAAATAATTGAAGGGGCTGGGGATGTGGCTCAAGCGGTAGTGTTCTCGCCTGGCATGCGTGCGGCCCGGGTTCGATCCTCAGCACCACATACAAACAAAGATGTTGTGTCCACCGAAAACTAAAATAAATAAATAAATATTAAAAAAATTCTCTCAGTCTCTCTCTCTCTCTCTTTAAAAAAATAATAATTGAAAATTCATTTTTAAAATGTATATGTCTAGGGCTGGGGTTGTGGCTCAGCAGTAGAGCACTCGCCTGGCATGTGCGAGGCCCTGGGTTCGATCCTCTGAATCACATAAAAATAAATAAATAAAATAAAGGTATTGTGTCCATCTACAACTAAAAAATAAATTTAAAAAAATGTATGGGCTGGGGATGTGGCTCAAGCAGTAGCGCGCTTGCCTGGCATGCACGAGGCGCTGGGTTCAATCCTCAACACCACATAAAAATAAAATAAAGATGTTGTGTCCACCTAAAACTAAAAAATAAATATTTAAAAAAATTTTTTAAAAAATGTATATGTCTAAGAGGAAATCTTTTACCTTAAGTGTTATTTTAGATCTACTGCAAAAGCGATCACATCTTACCTAAATCAGCCACTTACATAGTTTTTACTCCATAGTAGCATGGTGGAGGGAAGGAACTTGACAGTGGAGAGGGAGAGAGAGCCTCACTGGGGTTAATATTGGCTTCCACTTTACCTTCTTCAGTTTCTTGTGAGCTCCGCTGTAGTTCCCCTGCACCAGGTCCTCCCCACCCAGGAGCCGGTATGTCTCTGCCACCTCTGGGCTGAAATCGCCAAATGCTCCCACTTTGGCTTCCAGGGACTCTCTCAGGATCAAGGTTGCTCGCTGAGAAAGAGACAAAAATCTGTCTGGTTAAAAAGTTCAAAGGCTTATTAAAATCAGTGGTTTCTAAAGATAATTATGTAACTGTTATGGTTTGGCTCTGAAATGCCCCCTAAAAGCTCATGTGTTGAAGACTTGGCCAAGGTTCAGATGTAGGTTTTGGGGAAGTGAGTGGCTCATGTAGGCTCTAACCTTTTCATTGCATTAATCGACTTGATGGATTAATAATTTGAATGGACCACTGGAAGGAGCGGGAAACTATAAACAGGTGAGGCATGGTTGAAGGAAGTAGGTTTCTAGGGGACAATATCTTGTCCCTGGCTCTTTGCTCACTGTCTCTCTACTTCCTGGCTGCCAGGAGCTGACAGCTCTTCTCCGCCATGTCCTTCCGTCATAATGTTCTGACTTACCTGGAGCCAACCAACCACACAGACTGAAACCTCTGAGCCAATGTGCCAAAATCAACTCTTCCTCCTTTAAGAGGTTTATGTCAGGTATTTTGTTCACAGTCATGAAAAACTTACGAATACACATAACTGACTACAATTTCATTTTTTAGAGAATGGGTTTGGAGGTCTTATGAACTGGGGTTACTCTTCTCTGGTTAAATAGGATACAGAAAATAACATATTTTGGGGGGAGAAGATTAAAGTGTGAAAAAAGAATGTATCAAGGCCACTTCCAGGAGGGAATTCACTTCAGCTATTACTGAAATTCATTTTGGTTGGGTGGTAAGAACAAAAGCTAACCAGTATGAGTGGAGTCCTTAGGTGTCACAAACTGCACTGCACAATTTGTATGATCTCATTTATTTATTTATTTTTTTATGTGGTGCTGAGGATGGAACCCAGGGCCTCACATGTGCTAGGCAAGTGCTCTCCCACTAAGCTAAGGCCCAGCCCATAAATTCTGTCATTTATATAGATACAATTTTAATCCTCATTTGACAAAAGGGAAACTGAGGCATGGGGCAGCAGAAATTTGCTCAAGAGTCAGCTCATCAATGGTGGAGCTAGGCTCTGCATCCGGCCAGTAATTTTAATACCTTTAAGATCCACATTCTTCTTCCTCTATGCACACTGATGTTCTTATAAGAGAGAACTAAAACAGAACATCCAGATCATGCTCTGGGTTTTCTATTCTCAGGAAAAAAATAGTTTGCAAAAGTAAACATTCCAACATGATGTGACATTTTGTTTGGTTGATTCAACTTATTTATATCAACTTGGAATAAAAAAAATGTGCATTGGTCAGAAAACAATATTTCCTGACAATTTCTTCAGATACCAGGACTAAAACCCTGTTTAGGCATGCTGGTCTCCCACACTTCTTCCTGAAATTCTTCCACAATCTTCCACATGACAGCACAGTTACAGTTCTAGGGCTGAACTGTAATGCTGAATCCAACAGCCAAATAAAGCAGGGACTTGTGAAAGGGCTTTCTATAACACAGCCCCATAAGTGTCCTGATGGTGTCCCTCAGACAGATGGGGTGAAAGGCTTCCATCCTTTTGTTGGCAAAAATATGAGTTAGGGGCTGGGCTGGAATAGTAATGGTGGGGACACCACATTAAAGGTGCTAATGAGGCAGAAATCAATTTCTTAGGAAGAAAGAGAAATTGCTATAGGAACAGAGTGATTGACTTGCTATGTGTGGCCCACTGAAGAACATGAAGGACTACGATTTTAATCCAGACCTACTTGAGGGTAAGGCCCATCACATGCCCTCCTAACATCTGTGAGCATGAACATAGACTGATGGGAGTGTTTGGTTTGGTGGCTTTATTATGGGAATTGAATTCTGTCAGTCTTTGGGGAGCCATGGATGGAAAGAAGAGCTGAGACTCCTTTTCCTAAATGAAGCTTTCAATGCTGTTTACAGCCTGACTGGGGAGACTGGAGATGGATGATCATGAAGTTAAATGGCAAGTTAAGATGACAGTGGAAATGATGCCACTGGTTTAGAGGAAGCAGGTGTCAGACTCTAATAGTTAGGAAAAGCTTAAGAGACAGGAGTGAAGAACAATTAGGGCTTAGGTGAGAAAAGTCCCCCAAACTGGAGAAGCACAGGACCTATTTAAGGTGAGTGAGTAAGTTCAGTTGACTGCAGCAAAGTATGAAGTGGAGAAGAGAGAGATGGATCTGGTGGATGATCTGCTTTATGCCAGGCTCCGGAATTTGGATTTTCTTACAGGAAATAAGAAGTCAGAGAAAGTTCTTGAGCAGGAGAGTGGCACCACTAGAGGTGGCACCACCTCCCTCCCCCTATATCTTATCCTGCAGCAGAGGGACCTTCCTTTACATTTTATTGTGAAAGGTATTTCCTCCCAAAGATCATTTTCCTGTTAATGCAAGTTTCTGACTCATGTGTAGACTGTGAGCACATCTGAGAACATCAATGTGACTCCCCTTGCTTGTCTCTGTGACCGTCCTTGGGCCCAGCCCTTTTTTGGCGAACTCCTGCTAAGCCCCACAGGGAGAAGTTTGTGATCAAAGGGTGAGAACAGCATGAGGCTGCCACGTTCAGCTAGGCAGGCTGCACCATGCACAAGGGCACCTGACAGGAGAAGAGACAGGGATGGAACCAGCCCATGTTGCATTCTCTGGGCACTGTGCTCTGGCATGGGCTGTATCCACCTGAGCGAGGGACAGCTTTTCTATTCTTACAAGGGGCACTGGAAAGACTATCAGTGATCCTAGAATGAAAACAGTGTTTGCTAAAATCTTCAATGGCAGCCTGAGAGAGCAAGGGGCATCTTTAAATCAACACCACTGATTTGGGTGACCTGGGCAAGCAAGGACAGAGAGGCATAGCATCAGTGACATTGGGCATCGGTGCCTCAGCAGCAGACACCATGGCAGGAAGGCAGATGGGAATAGGAATGGAGCACATGCCTGTGGCCATCAGAGAAGTCAGCTGGCCTGCAGCCAAGTAGCCGTCCACCCATCTGCTCATCACTCCTCATCATAAACAAGAAGGTCCCTGTTCTCATGGAACTCAGTCTAGTCACACAAGAGATTTTGAACATCTACATAAACTTCTACGTATGAATACTTTTCTACATCATACTGGATTCTGTAAGGAAGAATCAAGGAGAAAGTCAAATGCAGATGGGAGAGGAAGCAGGGAAGCTGGTAAGAATTGAAGGATGCATTAGCATTAGCCTGGAATGAATGGAGAAGGGCTTCCCGGAGGAGAAGGAAGAAGAAGACACAGCCCAGAAATGGGAATTAGAAAAGGCCAGTGTGACAGGAACACAGATTGGGGAGCAGGGGCAAAATGAAATCAGAAATGTCAGCACAGTCTATATCACAGAAGGGATTGTGGGGCATAGAGGGATTCTGGTTTGTCCCAAAGGCACTGAGGGGACATTGGAATATTTTACAAACGAATGTTCACTAATCGGATTTGCTTTTTGAAAGGTCACCAGGGCTTCCTTGGGCTGAAGGGGTTAGGAAGAGGCAAACATAGAAGCAGCTGGAAGACAGGAGCTTGCTAGAGTACTCCAGGCAAGAGAGGATGCCTGATGGAGGAAAAGGGAAAACAATGGGTGGACTCAAGATATATTTTGGAGGGAAAAATGGCTGTGGAGTTGGGTTGGGCAAGGCATGAGGGGCAGACTTACCCTGGTTCCTCTTACCTGAGCTCCTCATAAAATGTTTAGAGGTAGAACTGGGATGTCTAGGGGTGGGAATCTGAGGCCTCTGGAAGCCTTTCTCTCCTTGTTTGGGTGATCCAGAAAAACAATGAAACTCCACTTGTTATGGTGGCTGTGGCCTTACTTTGGCCTGAGAAATATGGTGCATCTATATTAAAAGCCCGTGCTCCTTAACTGATAGAGAATTGAGGATAAAGGAAGAGCTGTTGGGGAAGAGGTCTACAGATGGCAAGGATAACAAAGTTTTCACCTCCAAGATTTGCCATGACAGGTTGGAAAAGATATTGAGCTATATACTATGGCTTCCTTTAGCTTTAGGTTTCACAGGAAATAAGTTCCCAAGGGTTTAATTGTCAATGAATAAAACTCTGGGTCTTCTTTCAGTTTTATAGTCCATGTCAAGCACACCTAGGTGGATCCATGGTAAAGGAGAGTGAGCTGAAACTTCTGCACTGTGTAGCTTTCCCTAGATATGCAAATTCCATTCATTACCCAAAATGAGGAGAGAAGAATAGACACACTAGCTGTCACCCTCCATCCCAACCAGAACTGAAGGCTGCAGTAAGCAGGGTTTTGTCAAGCAAGTTCTCAAGGTTTCTAATCCCTTAGAAGCTTTTGTAGGTGAATATGACATCTACACTCTCATTAACAATTTTCCAGTTTCTTAGTGTAAATCATTTGGAAGATACCCAAAGAGGCCTCCTGGTCTTATTTATTTGTGTCCTTCCAGGGCAAGAACATGCCTTACACATAGTAGGTACTTAATGGATACTTGCAGAGTAAGGAATAGCCCTTTGGATATCAACCAGGTTGCCCATGTGAAGAACTAGACAATTATGATCTGAACTCACCTCTTTTTGTCCAATGATTTGTAGAAAATGGCAAAATTCATCTTGAATTGAAAGAAATTTGGCTCTTTCCTTCCCTTCAGAATCTTTAAGATGAGTCATACTGTCTTGAAAATACTGCTCAGCCATATCTGAAGAAAAGCATCATAACAACAATCTTGACAACTGCTCACAGATTTGAAGTGGAAACAGAACAAATATGCTTTTAACAGTGATGAACTATTTGCAAATAATCAGCCTTTGGACAAGAGAAACCAATTAAGGAACTTGCCCTTTCCCCTTATCCTGCCTCTTTTACCAGAAAAGATTTAGGTCTCAGAAGGATACTGTAATTTCCTTTCCTTAATTTTCGTACATTTTAGCTTTCTTTGTGATAGAAAAGGTGAACTTAATGCAAGAGGAGAAACTATACCCTATAACCTAAAGATGGTGGCAAGTTTGCATGCTGATTGTTCATTAATTCTTCCTATAACTCCGATTGCTCCTCACTGACATTGGGATCCTCAGGGCCCACTTATTTTAATGGACTCCGACTGTAATCTTATTACATATTTCTCTAACATGAAAAGGTCTGGAAAATACAGTTGACATGCTGCTGGGGGATAATCCCTGACCATTCTAAACCCTTAAAAATACTGGCTATAATTTAACAAAAATATTTTAAAATATATGCTAATCATGAAAGCAAAAAGGGAAAAGTTTAGGTATGGAAAATGAAGAGGGAATTGAAAGCCAGAACAGCAAGTGGGTGTTAGTCAGCTTTCCATTGCTGTAGCAAATACCTGAGATACATCAATTTGAAAAGAGGAAAGGTTTATTTTGTCTCAAGTTTTGGAAGTTTCAGTCCATGATCAATTGGTTCTGTTGCTTGGGCTGTGGTGAGGCAGAACATCAAAGCAAAGACAGAGATAGGAAGGGGCTTGGGGCTCATATTCCCTTCAAGATCATGCCCCAAATGACCTAACTTCCTTCTACTAGGCCCCACCTTCAAAGGACCAAAACTTTGACACATGGAGGACACTTATCCAGACTACCAGATGGGAGCTGAGGTTGAATGGTTCATGAGCATGTAAGAAAAAATGACATACTCTTTATTCTTTTCCAAGCTTGAGTAGGACTGAGGCCTGTGTGTGGTGGGAAGCTGAATGGAGCTCCCTGCAAAAAGCCAGGGGAGCCAGCATAATCCTAAAATGACCCCAGTGACCTTCACCCTTATATAATCACCTCCCCTGTGGTTCTGGGTAGAACTTGTGATTGTGGTGAGATATGTGATGAGTTATGCTATAGGGCACTGTTGGCCCTAAGAAAGCAAAATCATCCCGGGGGCCTGACTTAATCATATAGGCCCTTTAAAGGTAGAGAGATTCTCCAGCTTTCTCCAGAGATTCTCCAGAAAAGGAAGTCAGATTGGAAGCTTTTATGATTTGGATCTGGCACGTCCCCCCAAACTTCATATACTGAAGGCTTGGTTCTCAGTGTGTACTGCTCCTGGGAGTTGTGGAATCTTTAAAGGTTAGGCCTAGTTGGAGGAAGTTAGGTCACTGGTGGGCACTGCCCTTGAAGAACTACTGCCCTTGGGAACCTAGCCCTTTCTTCTTTGCTTCCTGGCCACCACAATAGGTGCAGTTTCCTTTGCCATGTGTTTCCACCATGATGCGCTGTCTCACCAGAGGCCCAAAAGGATCAGGGCCAAGTGACCATGGACTAAAACTTATAAAATCATAAACCAAAACAAAAATTGCCACATTTAAGTTGTTTACCTCAGGCATTTTGTTGCAGCAACACAAATCTGACAAACACAGAAGCCTTAGAGGGATATGAAAAGAAGGAAATTCTCCACTGCTACGGAGAGCGCCTGTGGTGCAAACACCTGAGAGCAACCAGTAGGAGCCGAGAAGCTCGCGGTCACTGATCAGCAAGAAAATGGGGATTTAAGTCCTACAGCAGCAAGGAACTGAAAACTGCTAAAAACAGGAATGAGGTTGTAAAAGGACCCAAACTCCAGGAGACAATGGAAATGGCTCATAATTTCATTTTAGCCTAAGCAGAGAAGCCAAACTTACTGTGCCAGATTTTTGCTTTGCAGAGCTGTACTCTAATAAATAGGTATTTAAACTGCTTTAATTTCTATGAAGTAAAAGAAAATAAATAAAGTTTATGCTGTGATTGAACATTATGCTCTCTCAAACTTATATGTTGAAGTCCTAACCTCTAAGGCATTAGGAGGTAGAGTCTTTCAGAGGTAATTAGGTCACGGTAATTATGTCTCTTCTACTCCTAACTGACTCATGGGGAAAACATTACAGATTTTATGCTCCAACTAAATTATTAACTTTGGCTACTTTGATGATCTGAAGACAGCCAATGTTGGGGACGATGTGTCACTCATTTTGTTGACTCTAAAAGCATTTTTTAACTGCACAGTCCATGTCTAAAGTGATGGAGGATATTCAGAAGTAGAGTACTTTTGATAGTTTAAGTTTTTGACTAATTAAGAATTAACTAAAGAATATAACTCAGCCCTTCAAGTAAAGACATTGCTGGGTGCAGTGGTGCACAACTATAATCCCAGTGATTGCAAATTCAAAGCTAGCCTCAGTAACTTAGCAAGGCCCTAAGCAACTTAGCAAGATCCTGTCTTAAAAAATATAAGGGTTGGGATGTGTCTCAGTGGTTAAACGTCCGTCCTTGGGTTCTGTCTCTGATACAAAAATAAACAGACTAATAAAACAGTAAAGCTCTATCCACACCCCAGTCCCATCCCCTTGGAGACAGGCCCTAACTATGAAGGGTGGTAGACATGAGGGGTGTGGGAAGGAGCTGTAGCTGAAATACGCTGAGTTTCAGACCCTGGGTGTTGGCAGAAGCAGTGTTGCATGCACAGGGAAAGGTGAAAACCAAAAGCACTGGGTGAGGCATTTCCCTCCCCTCTCTTGGGTCAGGAGCCAGTCCCCCAGGCACAAGTGGACAGCTGTGCTGGACACCTTTACCTTGTAACATCCTCCCACCTCCCAGTGTTCATCCCCTGGGTGCTCATGGGCTGGCCAATCACTCTCCCAAAACACCCCATTTAGGCTCCAGGTGCAGCATGCTGCTTGCCCTCAGTGCAGCTAAACTGACAGAGACTTTGAGAAAGGAATTGCTGGGACTGATTCAAACTTATGTGCAAATGGTTTATAACCACGGCTCAGGAAGATTGGTACGTATTTTCCAAAGAAGATACTTGTAGGCAAATATGAATCTCTGGAAGAAAGAAGGAAGGAAGGAAGGAAGGAAGGAAGGAAGGAAGGAAGGAAGGAA